TTTTCTCTTTGTTACTCTGATATACCTCTGGGTATTAAGTAAATAGAGTAAGCATGCTAAGTTTATAATTATGATAAGCAACGGTGCCTTTTTTCAAAATTGTGTAATGCAAATTTTATGGCCTCTGGGGTAAAACACGAACCAATTTTAATTGTTTGAAAGTTGTTACACGATACTCATGTGACCTTTAAGGCCTGTGGGCCTCTTGTATAATAATACGAGGGTTGTCCAAGAAAAACGCGAACTTTTTGAATAATCCAAATACTATTCTCCAAAACTAAATTTTTTTTGTATGCTTTTCGAAATCATCTTTTGATATTTTGACAAAATATTATGGGCGTGTTATGTTATAATATACAGATAAAAACGGTATTTATGTGATGTTCAATATCGGTGGTCGGCGCACGACAATTTTTTGAATTTTACAAAAGACATTGTCAATGAAGTTTTTCTTTGCTATGAGGCTATACGGCAATATAATGTCAAAAATATTACCTATATGAATGCTCAATAATGTTGCGAACTTGTGTTTAAAAATTCATTTATTTGACATCATTAATGACCAATATATGAAGATATGCGCCATGCACTTTTAATAAGACATTGTCATAAATTGTTACTTTATGCGGTAATTTGGAGCACCAAATTATCGAGCAACACTATTTTGAGCGAGATATGACTCCTCTTCCTAGGGAAAAGGGATGTTAAAGATGAAAAAAACACAAGCATAAGTATGGGCAACAGGTTTATCTCCAGTTGAGGGGGTTTAAGGTTGACTTCACTGGTAATCCTTGACTGGTAGAAGAGAATAGACCACTTAAGTAAAGAACTGAAAAGACAAGACTGGGCCGTCGATGTCATAGTACTACGTGAAGACCGCTATTAAACAATTCCATCAGGTAAGTTTATGATCGGAATTGTCAAATTGTCTATCTAAAGCATTAACTCTGCAATCTTTTAATAACATTAATATATGAGATGTATAGATTGGTAGCTAAAACAAAATACAGAGCCAAACGTATGCTTAAATGAGTTTTTCCAGAACAAATTCACAAACACTCACTATGGGATACAGTTTGTTGACGTCAGTGTTGCGCCAACAGCTGATTAGATAGATTCGTTTATCCGAGAGGAAAATTCTATTTATAGAGATAATTCATTGAAAGTTTTAGGCATAAATCAAAAAATGTTGATCATATGATCCATGCCAATGTCTAACTCTATGGTCCTACATAAAGTGAAACAAGAGATTTTAGAATGTTTGCGTTTTTCTGGGACAGCCCTGGTATTTGAAAATTTTCTAATGTTGTCTGAGTAACATAATATGCCATTTGGTTCTTAGTTATGTCGGTAAAACTGAGGGTTTACTAAATGAGCGGCTGTCCGCGTGGCGCAGTGTCTGTTCTTGAGTCGCGGAGTAAGGAGTAGATCCTTTCGTCGTGAGTTCTGATTCCTATTGTGGGACTTTGAGACCCGTCCTTCGGATGAGACCGTATACACCTAGAAAATGAGTATACAACTGTAAGACAAAATTTGCAACTCTACAACGGCAAGTGATCGAGTCTCAATATGAGGTATTAGTTCTCGAGAAGGACGTTAAACAACATACAAACAAAGAAAATAATATCCGGGCATATATCAATTCCAAATACACACTTGGCCAGCAGCTTCTATGCAAACAGTTTAATTAACCGGATAAATCTATTTTGTAAAAATGAAAATCAGAATTCTTGAAATGACTCACAATCATCTCAATGTTCAACCATTATGTTCACTTTTCCATAGACAACAAGAAGAATTATTAAAATTGGATGAGAAAACTTGGAAATGTTTTTCGCATATGCATATAACAACGATAGTGTTGACAATCATGATGGGACTTCTTATGCCTAGGTCACATTTCTCGGCCGGTGGCCGTAGACCGGTGGTAATCGGTGGTAATCCGTGGTGTTTACGATGCCCAAACATCGATCCACATCGGCCTAGTAGTCCTTAAAGTATCAGTCACATTATCCAGCGATGGGTATACGATGGGCAACCAATGCGTTTTATGAGAAAAATGGCGTGGTTGCCGGCCGGACTTACAAAAGCCCAGCGATGCATTGCTAATCATAAAACGATGTTCCATGATAATCGGCCGATGTATATTACATCGCTCATACATTTGTGAACATCGATTGTACGTCGGTCGACTACGGGCCAATGTTTGGTTGAACATCGGCCGATTATCGGCCGTTATCTGTTTAACACCACTCAACCCCCCGATGACCTCAGATTCAACGGAAATTGGACGATGCTCGGACAAACATCGGCTGATCCTTGAAAGATGTATTAATGATGGGTTGCCGATGAGGAGCGATGTGAGGCATCGTTTGAGACATTGCTGAATTTTAACTACGAATTATTTCCTACCGATGACCCCACCGATTCGCAAAATGGCCTCAGTCACCGTCCGAGCACTAGTGGTGCTGGGCCGGCAACCACGCCATTTTCATAAAAAAAACGCATCGGTTTCTCATCGTTTACCCCATCGCTGGATAATGTGACTGATACTTTAGAAATACACGGACTCAATTGACTCGTTAATGCCTAGGTCACATTCCCCGGCCGGTGGCCGTAGACCGGTGGTAATCGGTGGTAATCTGTGGTGTTAACGATGCCCGATCATCGGTCCATATCGGCCTAGTAGTCCTTAAAGAATCAGTCACATTATCCAGCGATGGATATACGATGGGCAACCAATGCGTTTTTTGATAAAAATGGCGTGGTTGCCGGCCGGACTTACAAAGGCCCAGTGAGGCATTGCTAATCATAAAACGATGTTCCAGGTTAATCGGCCGATGTTTATTATATCGATCATTCATTGGTGAACATTGGTCGAATGTCAGTTGACTATGGGCCAATGTTTGGTCGAACATCGACTGATGATCGGCCGTTATCTGTTTAACACCACTCAACCCCCCGATGACCTCAGATTCAACGGACAATTGACGATGCTCGGCTATACATCGGCCAATCCGTGTAAGATGTGTTAATGATGGGTTGCCGATGAGGAACAATGTGAGGCATCGTTGGAGACATGGCTGAATTTTAACTACGAATTATTTCCTACTGATGACCCCACCGATTCGCAAAATCGCCTCAGTCACCGTCCGATCACTAGTGGTGCCCGGCCGGCAACCACGCCATTTTCATCAAAAAACGCATCGGTTTCTCATCGTATACCCATCGCTGGATAATGTGACTGATACTTAACGTATATGTTGATATGAACATCGGTCCTACATTATCTTTTTTTGTTCATTACTACCTCATGTATTTATAAAAAGTAAGTTTTTTTATCACATCTGCACAAACATTTCTCTACATATTTGCAAGTTAAAAAAAAATCTATTTGAAAAGGCAAGGGAAGTTCGTATTTGGATTCTAAATCGTCAACAGAATACAGATCCGGACTGTGATAATAATTATTGCAGATCTTAGGCTTTCAACTGGCGTCAAGATTGCGCTAGGGAATTGGTAAAATATGAAATATACAAGTATGACATGTACAAATGATTTGAAAAAACACATTCCGCTATTTCATTTTAAAAAATGTAATTGTTCTGATTTTTATCTAAGTGCAAGGACTGTCAAAGGAAAACGTGCTAGATACAGGAAGTTATTTCAAGTAACGTTCGTTTTAAGATTTTGGTATTTCACTAATAATCATGAGATTGGAGCACAACATGATAACCATCTATTCCTGTGTCTTCACTAATACAGAAATTGAAAATGAACAGGATAAATGGCAGGATCGGTTTATAATGATCTCAGCTGACAAAGAAGGCAATGTTAAGAACATTGTCATTGTTTACTCGTTACACTGTTTGTACTAGACACTTTTACATGAATTAGGATCTAATTCAGCAAATGGTAATCCTGATTATACCCAGTCTCTTATTCTTCAAGTTCTAATATTTTTTATATTCCCAACAATTAAATTGTATTTTAATGTCTACAATCTTTCAAAATAAATAGCAAATTTAGCAAGATATGATATTGACACCAGTACATCTAACTATGTTATCTTTAAAAAACACCCTTAAGCTTTTAAAACAAACCAAAAAAAAAACATCCTGCAAAGTCTTAAATTTTTAAAACATTCTTCATATATATATATATAATGATAAAAAAAAGTTATAAGGCCCTAGGTTTAAAGTCTCTGAATACTGTTTAAGTTTGTGAAACTCTCTTTAAAAAATAACAGAAATAAATATTGTGTGTTGTTCATTTGAAATTAAACAAGTTTAATATTTCATATTACATGAGGTTTAAATGCAGAAAGATAAAATTACCCTTTTGATGGAATCTTCATTTAATGATAGAAATGTTTCCAAAGATCTGAAAACCGAAAGCATCCTCGAGTACAGTAAATTTTTTTGGTCAAAAAGCTATAGATGTACGCGTCACATAGGCAAATGTACAGTACAATATAGAAAGCAGTGGAAGTGAAAATCTTTGTGCAAACTAGATTTAAAACCCTTTAAAACAAAATCAAATCATATAATTATAACAAAGATATTTCACTAGAACATTCAGATTTTGGATTATTAGCCGATGAAGTTCATTGACTGGAAAATTATTGATTAAAATAATGACAACTAAATTATTGTGAAATAGATATGAACTCAATTGTGCAATATAGATAAGGCATAATAATATATATGAATGTGAACTTTATCTGCAAATAACTTGTTTTACGTGTTGTTGATCTCTCCTGACAACTTTGTATATAACATGCATGTTAAAAAAAAGATTTCATTTATGATTCATTCCTTTAGGAGAAATATTTCTGCAATAAACGAGCATAGACATATATTTAAATATACATTTATTTAAAATAAACGTTATCCCTCTCATATATTTTGAATGTGTGAATGATTACATGTAACCTTGCGACTGTTGTATTTCAGATATGTCTGCACAATAAACTGCCGTATGATATGACAAAGAACAGAATGGCTCGACAAATAGCTTTTCTGTATGTGCTTATATCATTTGTCTCATGGAGAGGTCTAACGTATACAAATGGAACTCCAATTCAAACGACTTTAACATCTTCAAAACCTACAATTTTAATGGAAACAACAGTGACAACAACAGAACTAATGGTCACCGCTAATATTTCCAGTAAGTATGAGTGTATTCGTTTCCAGTAAGTATGAGTGTATTCGGGTAGATTTTCCGGAATACTATATCTATTAAATCATAGTTTCCAGGAATTTAATTGAAAGTACCAAACAGTATTGCAGTCATTTCCTAGGACTTCATATATAGGTACAATGTAGGTACAATTATAGAAATTAGATCACTAGTTAGAAAAATCAAAGTGTAAATAATTTTACTCAGAGAGTCATTCCAATAGGAGGCTGTAGTCGAACGATAGTCCAAAACTCAATGAATGAATGAATCGTACAATATCTGCATGATTGCGTTATCTTAAACTTGTCCGATCCTCAGGTTTATAAAATTAGTAATTATAAATAATCGAAAATACTCATTAAAATATCTCTGAATCCACAAAGTTATGTAAATTTATCCACAATATTTCTTTAAAGATTAAAGTTAATCATATTATATAGTGAAAATTGTAAAATTCTCCAATATTTTTGCAGAAAAAGCGAATAGGAATCTCAGCAATGCTTTTTCTAACTGCAAATTGATCAACAAATATACCGGTATTTTAGAATAAAAACGATAGGTATCCAGGCATTCAGAGAAATTGTTATGATTTTTATACTTATTTGGTATTAACTTAAATTTTGATTTTTGCTTCTTGACTGAGGATCGGATATTCTTAATTAAAAATGAATTATTGAATCGTAAACATATACTTAATCATAAATAAAACATCAGAGTATCCAATGAAATTAATTTACTGCACATCTTATAAAAATACGGGATATCAAACGCTTCCTGATGGTAGTGCCTGTATCATTGAGCTTTCGAAATTATTTGCCCGAGACTGGTAAGCAGTTAAAGGGTATGTCTTATAAAACCAAAGAGAGGTTGCGATACATTTTGATTAGGAAATATTTTTTTTTTGGCAAACAAACAATACATTCTTGAAAGGAATGATATCAATATCTAAAAGAAACACATTTGAATTACGCTCATAACTGTCACCCAGATTACATGTATTTAAAAATATGCAAGAGCTGTTAAATTATAATATTTCTTAATAAATTAATAGTAAATTGCATCGAGATATAAGGGAGTTGCAGGTTGAAACTTGACAATATGGATCTGATGTCTTTAAAGTATTCCATTGTATGTTTCCGAACAAATATTCAACATGCAACTGAAATCCTTAAGTTTGAAGATGACCGATTTAGCCGTATGTATACCCTGAGTTTTACTCAAGAGAACACGAATATGTTTATAAAATTTTTGAAGATAACGAACAATATTGAAACTCAAAGGTCAATTCTTAAACACAAAATTGGAGCAGAGCAAAAACGGGTCTCCATAAATTCAGATGTGGTAACAGGTGTCATTGAGGAGTGAGCATCCTGGGCTGCCGACCGGCCACACCCGCCGTGTGCTACTTGTCCGTACCGGGAAATAGCAGAAAAATCCGTCGACGATTCCGTGTGTAATAGCTTTAATAACGATTAGTATTAAAAAAGTCAGTCAGCATTTGATTAATGAATAATTGTATAAGCTGACAAAATCATCCATTATACGAACTTACGAAATGAAGCTACTAGTATGCGGATCCATTCTTTAAGGACAGATGATACAAACAAATATTTTCTTTGGAGGATACTAAATATCATGTCACATGTTCAGAAAAATGGATAATTCTTAGAATTTTTTCTCCAAAGAACTGCAAAATGAAATAGACTTGGAAAATGTTAGAAATATTTCAAAAAATATAGACATTTAATCACACTCAGTAAAGGTTTACAGATGAAAACAAATTTAAGAATATGTTATCTTTGCGCTAAAAGTGCAATATAAATTTTAGAAATATATACTAAGCCATTTTGATTTTCCTGACAAAATTCACCTGGCTTGGTATACTTTTCAAAGTTTATGATACACTTTTAGCACCAATTTAACAAATTCTAAAATTTTTTTTCATCTGTATACCTTAACTGAGTGTGTTTTGTCCATATTTGTAATTTTGTTGAAATATTACTAATATTTTCCAAGTCGAGAAAAAAAATCCACTTTTCTGAACTTGTGACATGATATTAAGTCTCCTCCAAAGAAAACAGTTGTTTGTATCATCTGTCCCAAACATTGAATTTAAATTACTATAAAATAGCATTTTTTCTAAAAATAAACGACAAAGAAAAATAGTCGATAGTCTGTATTATCGAATAATAGTCGAGTACTTGATTATTCACTGACATTCCTAGTATTTTTTTTTGACTCGGGGTTTGACTGCCACAACAGTCCACAAGAGGATTATTTCTTATATTGGAATCGTAACAAGTACATATACTTAAATATTAAATCAAATGTTATTTTGAATAAATGAGGTAATAATAATAATAATAATAATAATAATAATAATAATGTTAAAAAGGATTGGTATAAGTGGTAAAGACATGTTTATTTGATAAAAGATAATTTTTTATTCACAAGTCTTATTTCTTTATTGAAATTCAATGCCTTACTTTCTTGTTTTTTTCATTACAGGATGCCCCCTAATCATTGTCACTCCTGGATTTATCTCGGAATATTTCGGTTCTTCCGCCTCTTTTACAGGCATTGTAGAGTCATACTCTGATCGGGCTCTGCAGTCCAAGTGGCTTAAAATAAACTCCGATGTCACCGAAATCGTTGATATAACCAGGATTAAATACCTTGGTAGTACATCTTATCCGTATCCCAAACTTTCGATCAATGATGTAAATTTCCACGACGACGTAGACTATCAACTTCAAGTTCAAATTGCGGAAGGATTTTGTTATAGTAATATAGTCAATCTAGAAGTTAAAGGAAGTAAGTGTGCCAGTACATAATCATTAAGAATGCAAGTTGTTTAATCGTTAATCACGACTGATTGTGTGGTAATTTGTTTCTAATTTTTACAGTACTGACGTTTTTTGATCAATGCAATATGACAAAGGAATGCAATCGAAGTAAGGAATTGTTTTGCTCTTCAGCGTACAATTCATGTATGTGCAGGAGTGCTTTTTACCACAGAAATCGCACATGTTTTTCAAGTGAGTATTTCACAGACATAATATATGCTGGGATATTTTACTTGAAAAAGACATTAATTGATGGCAATTTTACAACCAAGCTCTATGATAGAAGTGATGACTTTATCTTCACAATCGTCAACTTCCCTTACTTATGCAGCAATATACCTTTATCATCTGCATATGGAATTTATATCTCTCAATTGATTCGATACGCAAGAGCATGCTCTACGTATGAACAATTTCCAAAACGAGGTAAATTATTGACAAGCAAGTTGATGAAACAAGAATATCAGCAGTCTCGTTTAAAGTCATCATTTCGTAAGTTCTATGGTCGATACAATGACCTTGTCAGCAAATACAATTTATCATTGAGTCAAATGCTGATTGACGTTTTTCATACCATTTGTTAGTCCATTATTTTAAACACTGAATTGAATCAGACTTTTTTTCGTTATTTCCTGATCATGGCAAGGAGCACACGGCGGGTGGGACCGGTCGACAATGGATGCTCACCATTCCATGGCACCTGATCCCACCTCTGACGTGTCGGAGGTCCGTGTTTGCTATGCTCTTATTTTGTATTGTGTTATGGACTTTGAGACTAAATACTGTTGGTTTTCTCCATATATCCTTCTCATGCTACTAATTTAGTCAATTCTCTAAGAAAATATTTAGGAAAACACAATAAAAGTATACGAAATTGTCTAAAAGTTTCAAACTTGCTCAAAGCATTATATAAACTCTCAAAATCATTTAGATCTAGAGTGTTTGAAAACATGTATTTTATATAGGAAACAATTTAAGAGCAATATATAGAAGATCAGAGATTACTACAACTACAATCACGACCTGGTGGAATCCTCCTACTGTAGACTCCCACCTAATCCAGTCCTATACTGCAGAACTGACAGAAAGTGAGCTGACTCTCAACATGACCGAAGCTGTTGGGAATAACACTAACTGCACCTTTTCTTCTAAGTTTCTGCCTGGTTATCTGTATTATTTGCGAATCGCCTCTAACGTTCTACTAAGCGATCCTACGGAAATTTTTGCTGTAACAAACACGATACCTTTTGTTGTTGGTAGGTTTTGTATGGTTTTTTTTTAGCTCTTCAATTCATGCTTAAGTCAATTTAATGTGTTTTCATTGATACTATTTGAGTTGCGTCAAGCGAAAGGGGACTTTTGTACGTGACGTAAACGTAATTACGTCACAATAGAGCTTCAAAGAAGTGACGTCGCGCCGGTGCGTTTGTCGATAAAAAAATCATACGATTAAGCAAAACAAAAATTTATTTGCGTAATACTTATGTTAAAAAAAGACACGCCTATAACTGTCCGAAAAAAATGTTTAATGTCGTCAATTTATAGATTTACTAGTAATTTTTCCAAATTAGTTTTTTAACTAATTTAATTTTTGATAGTTCATAAATGGCCTTATTCATAAGAAGTGAAAAATGTCTATGAACAAATCCATGTACGTTTTTACCTCAGTAATCTGTGTACGTGAAGACAAGATTTCGCGGCTTTGACCTTTCCGGCTGAGCTCCTGACTCTATGTATAGATAAGTGGTCTCCTGCATTGAAATCAATGTTTTTTTAAATTATTATATATATATATATAAATATTTTTTGGTGTGGGGGTGGGGGTTACATATTACACATTCCAGGTTGTTTCTCCGTTAGTCAGAAAGGCCCGAGAATTGGCGACTCAATGCCCAAAGTTTGTTATCAGAGATTAAGTAATCGAATCAAGTTACTGACATTAGGTTTAGCATAGTTTCAATTGTATTTTGTCAATACATATAGTAGGAAAAAACATGAATGATTTTGATACTATGTATCAAATGTTTCGATTGAACAGTTAGAATATCATCTGGTACTGTTGACTTGGTCAATTAAATATTGCATGAATCAACGTAGCTATTAGCTAAAACGTGAATGGGTGGCACAGAAGAAAAGCTTATTTACATGTGTTGATTATATACATGTATTAACGATTTTAGTATACTCTGAAAGTATGAATTTAATGTCTGACTTTTATTGTTGTCCGACTAATTGTTTTGCATTAAGCCTAGATATCTACATAACTTGGATATTTTCATCGGTATATTATTGTGCTGAACAAATTTAATTCCTTAATATTTTTAACATGAGAAACAAAATTGTCTAACATACGATATTTATATTTAACAAAATTTAAACAATTGCAAGCGAAGTAACGTATCTTTGTTCCATGGCAAGTATATGTGCCGGGCTCATTTTTGAATTTTGAAGAAGGCCTACCCCCTCCCGTTTCCCCAGTATAGTTTAGTCATGGTTATTGATACAATTTGTACCGGTATATTTTATTTGATTTTAGCATCTTAAATCACTCTTATATAGGCAAGTATCATAGTTAGAGGGGGGGTTAAACAAAAACGTTTAATTTAATTTGAATTGGGGAATTTTCCACATTTTATTATAATTTTCAATTGAAATGAAATAAAAGGACATCGATTTTGAAAGAAGTGTGATAAACATGTAATTGATAAGTAAAAAAATATAACAATGTCTGAAAGCTGCACCACTACCCCCTAAAAACAATTGTTCCGGAAAGTACAACTATGTCCTTTTCAAAAAATACATGTACATGTAAGTACTGGGTAGGGGTTTGTTTTTGTAGAGGTAAGCTTGGTGATTATGGCGAAAGGAAAAAAAAAACAATACTTAAACCGGGATTTATCCTTTACTACAGGTACATGAACACAATTTTTCATTTTAGTCCCTTGCAAGCAATCGTAAATACTCGGTCATTTCTGTGTACATAAGTTATTTCTCCCTTGGAAAATATCCGTGTTGTTACGAATGCCTTAATTACGAGATAACTTCAGAGTAGGAACTTGTTTGGTTTTGTAAACATGGTCAGCGGTCTATCCCCTTATGAAGGATCCTTTCAAATCACAGGATGAAAATCCACCATTCAGTCGACTGAATGGTGGCTGAATGGCCACTGAATGGTCACTGAAAGGTCACTGAAAAGACCCTTTCCCGTGACCTTTCCGTGATCATTCAGTTACCATTCAGTCGACTGAATGGCACATACATTTCAGTGACCTTTCCGTGATCATTCAGTTGAATCTTTTTATTGAATAATCGGCTTATTTTTTTACCTAAAAAATGTATTTCACTTTTTCCTGGTATAATAGCATTAAATGTATCTAATTCCGAATAAAAAAAATAGGAAAAATATTAATACAAGAAATAAAAATTTCTCCAATGTGAAGAGTCGAACCCTGGTCTCCTGCTTACCTGTCCACAACCTTATCAATTACGCTACAACTTCTTGTTTAGAGTAGAGGATTTAAAATCAATTAGCTTATAGAAATCGATGGAACAACCAGTTCACCTGTTGTATCGAGGAGCTGCGATGTGTATATATCTTGTATATCTTTTGTATATTCTATGTTAGTTGAGTGGATTTTGGGGACAGACTAATTAATTACACATCTCCTATCGGGATGATGACAGTAATTATTATCAGAGACAGGCACCTGTTCCTGTGTCAAAGATTTAAGATCGTTGTAAATTCTCTATATAGAAACTTAGTAGAATTATTCTATTAAAGCAATGTCATTTAGAAAGCTAAAATCTCCTATATATTTTCTTTCTACAAAAGGCATGTATAAACGATTTATTTATTCTTGTAATTAAAAATGAATTTAAAATAATGTCTTTCAAAAACTAAATATCCTGCAGTTTTGACAATGACAATTAAAAAACGAAATTGATCAGTAATACATGCAATCTTCCAGAAATGGTTTAAATAATATAAATTCTGTCTCATCAATCAAAACTATATATTTTCATGAAAAAATACACGTATATGCACTATAGAATGTTATGCATTTATTTAAATTTTGAATCGGTAATCGGATCATCATTTTTTATCACTTGAAGAATTTTTGTTTTCTAAATGTAACTAGAAAACTAAAAATCATTTTGAATAAGTCTCACATATTTTATTTTGGGGACAGACTAATTAATTACACATCTCCTATCGGGATGATGACAATAATTATTATCAGAGACGGGCACCTGTTCCTGTGTCAAAGATTTAAGATCGTTGTAAATTCTCTATCTAGAAACTTAGTAGAATTATTTTATTAAAGCAATGTCATTTAAAAAGCTAAGATCTCCTATATAATTTTTTTTCTACAAGATGCATGTATAAACGATTTATTTCTTCTTGTAATTAAAAATAATAATTACTTTAGACATATTTTAAGGTACCCGAATTTTTGATCACGATAAGTAAAAAAAAAGCACAATTAAAATTGAATAATAAATCTTTATTCAAAATATTGCTTCCTTGTTAAGGAAAAATATCTGATTATTAAATAATACGCTAGTGAAAAAATTGCTAAATTGAGACTTAAATATCACTGAAAGGTGGCGGAAAGGTCACTGAAAGACAACAGAAAGGTCACTGAAAGTCGACGGAATGGTCACTGAAAGACGACACTGAAAGGTCACCGAAAGATAACTGAAAGACGACGGAAAGGTCACTGAAAGTTGATGGAAAGGTCACTGAAATTTGATTGAAAGGCCACTGAAAGTTGACGGAAATGTGTCCGCTGAATGGTGACTGAAAGGTATCTGAAATGTGACTGAAAGGCAACTGAAAGGACACTGAAATGTATGTGCCATTCAGTGGCTGAATGGCCACTGAAAAGTCACTGAAAGCCGCCTTTCAGTTTTAACTGAAAGGTCTTGTTTCTTCCTGTGAATACAATTTTTTCAGAGATTAAAGCATGCTTATATTCGTGTTATAGAAAAAAAGATGAAATGATGTCGTTGAATATATTCTTTGAAAATGTAAAACTTACTTCATTATTTAAATATTGACCAACAAATACATAGAGAAAATATTGTCGGTTTTTTTTTCAACAGCCTTATCGCTATTTTACAATGTATACGATGATATAGCTGCCCATTTTTTTTGGGGGGGGGGGGGGGGGGGTATTGAAAAACTTAAATACATGTAGAAAAAATAATTTATAACTACAGTGTAATACAAAAGTGATTTTTAGTTTTAACGTTCCAAATATCAATAACGTTATGTGACGTTATTCAACGTTTTATAGCATTATTTTTTTTAAATTGTTTTGCTTTCATTTTGAGTTTTAATTAGAATTGAGAAGGTATACAATTAAAAATTTGGTATCAAAATATTCAGAAAAACTGGCTCTTTCAGAATCGGTGTAAAAGCGATTTTCGAAAATTTTGTCACGAAGGTCCCTTTTCGCTCGACGCAACTCATTTTATAACAGAAGAAAGGAATTCCGAAATTAGTATCTGTGAGATTTTCTTGTTAGATCCTTTGCCTCCAGGCCATATTTTAAAGAATGCAAGCAATCTACACCCAGACCATTTATACCTAAAATGGATCCCTCCAAACCATGGGGCTCATGTCAACAGATACAGCATTTCTGTGAATGGAAGAACTGATTCATCATCTTCCAATGGGATTTCCTGGTCATATAAATTAGAGCCTGGAACAAACTACAACGTCAGTTTGATTTCGATCTGCTGGTACCCTGAAAGTTTCCAGAAAGCGTCTGCTCCATATATTGAACAGATAGAAACACTGCGTGGGTACATTTATTGTTTAACCTATTGCACTTACTTACTTAGGATTTTGAAATTTTAAGTATTCTAACAGAATTGACGACGAATTTTTATGATCATGACAAGGAGAACACGGCGGGTATTACCGGTCAGCAGGGGATAGGCACTCCTCCATGGCACATGATTCCACCTCTGGTATTTTTTAGGACAGATGATACAAACATTTTTTTCTTTGGAGGAGATTTAATATCATGTCAATGGT